TGGAGGTTGCAGTGAGCTGAGATTGTACCATTGCACTCCAGATTGGGCAACAGAGCAAGACTCTGTCTCAAAAAAAAAAAAAAATTAGTATAACAAATATTACGCTTTTGGTGTCCAGTTATATATAATACATATTTACTTATGGTTCAGAGCTAACATATCAAGTTTAGATTAGTAAAGAGCACTGGGAAATTATAATTGTGTGGATTTTATTCCTCACTCTACCTCTTCCCCTGTGCATGTATCTTATTTTTTTCACGGAATATACACTGTACTTACATAATTTATTTCTGCTGAGATAGAATGCACATAACGTTCACCATCTTTTTTTTTTTTTTTTCCTTTTCTTTCTTGAGATGGAGTTTCACTCTGTCATCCAGGCTGGAGTGCAATGGCACAATCTTGGCTCATGGCAATCTCCTCCTCCTGGGTTCAAGTGATGCTCTTGCCTCAGCCTCCCAAGAAGCTGGGATTACAGGCATGTGCCACAATACCCGGCTAACTTTTTGTATTTTTAGTAGAGACGGGGTTTCACCATGTTGGTCAGGCTGGTCTCGAACTCCTGACCTCAGGTAATCCACCTGCCTCTGCCTCCCAAAATGCTGGGATTACAGACGTGAGCCACTGCGCCCAGCCAACATTCACCATCTTAAACTGTACAGTTCAGTGGCTTGTGGTGTATTCACCGTATTGTGCAACTATCACCGCTATGAAATTTTAGGACATTTCTCTCAGGCTCACACTCCAGCCTGGGTGACAGGGCGAGACCCTGTCTCCAAAAAAAAAAAAAAAAAGAATACTTGAAAAAATCCCACAAAGATACTAGTCAAATGCAGTAGTGAGAAGAGGGGAAGAGAGGGGAAGAGTAGAATAAGGAGTTGGATGTGTAACTGACTGTGAATAATCAATTGAGTTGACTCACTGCCTTCAGACCAGTCCCACCCAGCTTCTTAACTTCTGAACCCTCCAGTCAACATCATGTCAATGGCCAAACAAAATTTTTGAGCCAAGAAAAGATTTTACAGTATTCACTTCAGCAAGAGGAACAACAGGGTTAGATTATGGACTGGGTTGATAAACATCATCAGCTATAGATGTTAGAATTTTAAAAATACTTTTCTTCAGCTTGTAGGACTTAGTTTCTGAAACTTACAGAAATGTTCAAGCCTACAAAAATTACATGAACTCTTGTGTACTCATCAGCTAGCTTCAAAATTTTGTATGACTTTTTAGTCTAATTTTTTTTTTGTTTGTTTTGAGACAGAGTCTCAAAAAAGAGTCTCGCTTTGTTGCCCAGGCTGGAGTGCAGTGGGGCGATCTTGGCTCACTGCAACCTCCGCCTCCCGGGTTCAAGCGATTCTTCTGCCTCAGCCTCCCCAGTAGCTGGGATTACAAGCGCCCACCACCATGCCCACCTAATTTTTGTATTTTTAATAGAGACAGCATTTCCCCATGTTGACCAGGCTGGTCTCAAACTCCTGACCACAAGTAATCCGCCCACCTTGGCCTCCCAAAGTGCTGAGATTACAGGCATGAGCCACCATGCACAGCCAGTCTAATTAAAATTATTAATAATAAGCCCATCTGGTTAATAGAAAGTTCTATTTTTATGGAAAGCAGTTGAGTAGGAAAATGTGTTATTACTATCAATCATTCCATTATCTCTCTTGGAATATAGTCTGCTTGGATCACAAGACCAAATTGCCTAAAAAGAAATAAGGAACCTTGGGTTGTGTAAAAACTCAAGCTGTCTTGAAGCCCAGACCGTTGATTTCTTGGGAGTGAGAGATGCCCCGGCCAGGACATTGGCCTCTGTGGCCTTTGATTTACCATATTTAAATGCCGATTCCAGAGCAGCCCTCAGACAGTTCGCTTTGGTACGTCTTGGTACATTGGAGAGGCGCCCAGGAATCTGCATGTCTGACAGGGTCCCCAGATTGACTGGAACTAATCCCCCATGGACCACACTTTGGAAAATAGTTCTATCTCACAATCCCGGACCTGTAAAGTGATAATGAAGTTTATCATGGTATTTTAAGTCACAGAGCACTCCCAACTAGCAAATTCAGCTGGGTTCGTTACTTAATTAATGGTTTTTGTTTTTTGTTTTTTGTTTTTTGTTTTTTTGACACAGGGTCTCACTCTGTCACCTGGACTGGAGTGCAGTGGTGCAGTGTCAGCTCACTGCAACCTCCATCTGCTGGGCTCAAGAGATCCTCCCACCTCAGCCTCCCAAGTAGCTGGGACTGCAGGCATGCACCACCACACCCGGTTAAGTTTTGTGTTTTTGTAAAGACGGTGTTTTGCCATGTTGCCCAGGCTGGTTTCAATCTCCTGAGCTCGAGTGATCAGCCCACCGCAACCTCCAAAAGTGCTGGAATTACAGGTGTGAGCTACCGTGCCCAGCCAGTTAACAATTGCTAATCATCAGAGACAAAAGGGAACGGTCAATTTTTTATAGCAGCATTTTTAATATTTTTGTGAATTCAGAAATGCTGATGGATTGATTGCTGAGTGTGCAGGGGGATTCTATGCCCCCTCAGTGCCAGCCTCTGAAGCCCCCTGCACTTGCTTCTCAGTATACGGCATCAGCCGTTTCTCTAGAGATCGTGGTTTTTGTGCTGGAAGTTATTACTCCCTGATGGGAAGTGAGTTCACTTAAGTACCATGTTGTTTAAGTGCTTTTTGTGATCTTTGACCTCCAGGTTCACACATGCATCTCTGTGCATTAGACACAGTGGACTTTTTTCCTTTTGGAAAAGCTGTGCTTCCTGAGAACTATAGGGAAACTGTTTTCTTGAGGGCATGGGAGGAGTTACAGAGTTGACTGTGACTCAGGCACAGCCCTGGTGCTGTCGATGACGGCAGAGACTGTGTCTCCCTCATCTTTGAGTCCTCTGGTGCATCCTGCACACGGCCTGCCACGTTGTCCTAGTGCCAATGAAAGGGGATGCCAGCTTGGAAGAGAGCTGCTGGCTCATATGGAACAAGGTTGGATTCTTGTGGGTTTGGTCTGCGTGGAGGGTGGTGGCAGTGGTGGGGAGGGGCTATTCTCCCTGACGTCCACTGGGGCCTCTGCCAGATGCTGGACAGAAGAGTAGTGTCTGTGGGCCCAGCCAAGTGGAGGGACTCCAGAAGCTTTCAGCTCTGCGGAGCTTTGTAAGAGGGACAATGAGTTCCTTCCTGTCCCTGAAAGGCCTTTCAGGGCTATGCTGCATGATGGGATGGGCAAGCCCTGGGGCCTGGCTACTTTAAAGAAGTAGGCTTGGTTACAACATAGATCGAGCCCTACAATGTCTGGTGCTGAGTTGCTGGGTAGGGGGACAGCTGAACTCCATGGACAGGCCAGAGCTCCATGTTCCTGTCCACCCACACACACACAGTTGGCAGACGTGTCTGTTCCTTTCCTTGCTCCCTCAGCTCATGGTTCCCCAGCCTCCCTCTTGTTCGTTTGTTACCCATGTGCACTCTCCTTTTCTTTTTCTCTTCCTCTCTGGCTTTCCTCCCTTCATCTCCTTGTTCTCAAGAGCTACCTGCATGTCTTGAAGTTCTGCTCTTTGATTTCTCTGGAGGAAGAGGATGCCCAGGCCAGGACATCCGGCAGCCGTCCCATCACCTAACAGGGAAACCATCCTGGGAAATAGGGTAGGAATCTTGGAAACTGGAGAAGGAGTTGGGAGGGGGCTTCCCTGGAAAAGTAATGTGAATACCCAGTATCTTGATATGCCTTGAGCTGTAGTCAAGGAGGCGGCTCCCCTCCACTAGGGAGGACCAGCTAGCTGGTGTTCGTGCCTTACAGAAGGACTGCGTGGCCCATGCTGTTGGCCTTCTCTGATGGGCCTCATCTTGCCAGCACCTTCACCTGAGCCATGTCCATTTATGCTCGTGTTGGGAGACACTTCTTCCCACAGAGTTCTGGAGGGACTTGCTATGAAGCAATGAAGTTTAATCAGTTCCTTCAGTTTATATGGGGGTCAGGCACCAGAGTCTTCAACTGCTACTTCTGAGCTGAGGCTGCTGCCTTGGTGTCCACACAGGCCTTGCTATTTGGGGGGTTTAAGGAACTCAGTGGGATTCCTGGGCTTGCCAAGATCATCTCCTGGTGTTCCTCAGACCAGACAGATGACCTCGTGACTGGGTGTTTCTTCCTCCTCAGTTTGGAGGAGGTGGGAGGGGCTCCCCATGCGGGGCTCTGCAGACAAGGGCAGTGTGGGTTTACACCCAGTGTCAGGGTTCGCAGAAGGCTAGAGTATCCCTGTGGAGACAGTTCCACTTTGGTGTGTGGTTGATGTCTTGTGTCAAATAAAAGGGCAACTACTTTCTTCTTTGGGGACTATTAGCTCATCACAGTGGTTCTTAGAGAGCCTGAAAAAGCATTGGGTCTTGTTGTTATTTATGTTTTGCTTTGTAAGTTTGTATGTATTCTTAAAATTTTTGGTGAACTTAACTAAAAGATATATACAAAGATGGCCAGGCGCAGTGGCTCACGCCTGTAATCCCAGTACTTAAGGAGGCTGAGGCAGGCGGATCAGTTGAGGCCAGGAGTTCAAGACCAGCCTGGCCAACAAGGTGAAAAACCATCTCTACTAAAAATACAAACATTATCTAAGGGTGGTGGTGCACACCTGTAATCCCAGCTACTGGGGAGGCTGCGGCATGAGAATCACTTGAGCCCAGGCAGCAGAGGTTGTGGTGAGCCGAGATCATGCCACTGCATTCCAGCCTGGGCAACAGAGCCAGACCCTGTCTCAAAAAAACAAATGAGCAAAAAAGATATATATAAAGAGGGTGGCATGAGTTCTGAATCCGGGTGGACCTCAGGATTGCACCCTTGCTCTACCTACTAGGCCGGAGATTCCAAATTGTGTGTTCTTTCTACCCCCTGCTCCTGGGTGGAACCTACCAGGGATAAATAGTTTGGAGTGTGGGCCTAGATTTGCTCCCCTCTGAGGGAGGCCCTGCTGTCGTGGCTCACTGGGTGTGCATCCCTGTCCCCCCAGGCGACCTGGAGCTCCCCTCGGTGCTGACATGATGACAGTGTGCAGGCCGGCCAAGGGCAGCCACAGCCAGACTGAAAACCTGAGCTACAAATTGGCCGACAAGTAAGAACACTTCTCCCCCGAGAGTGTAGACGCTGGCCCAGCTTCTTACTCTCCTACCACCTTTCCTTCTTCACCGATTCTACTTCCTTGAGCTAAGGAGCTCTTTTCCAGGTCATTCTAATGAGCCTCCTGCAGACCGTCTCCATGCACTGCAGTCATTTAAGGCTTCAGGCCAAAGTGGTCAAGAGAGAGTCTGACTAATGGCCGGTGTGTGGAGAGGATGATCCCCCGGCAACTTTAGCCCTGTCCCCATGATGCGTTCCAATTCCAGGTGTATTTTTCTAACTACTAGGATGTTCAGGTATTTTAATTATGTTTGAGTCCTAAGACTTTGCAGCTGTACCTGTCCACAGTCAGTTTTCCCATCTAATATCAGTGTGCTTGTTTCCTTCTCCCCAGATGGAGCCCTTTCTCCGATCCTCTCACATTCCACAAAGCAGTTGGCAGCCACTGAGGGGTTCTCAGCTCTGCGCCCCAGGCTGGAACCCCTTATGGGATGGGAGAATCCTGGAAACAGGAACTCTAGAAACTCTTGGGCTGGCAACCACGTGGAGCGGGAACTCTGTCCTTGGGGACTCGTAGGGCGGTTGCGGCATCCTTGCCTCTGTTGCATGAGTTTTGTAAATCCAGTGTGAGCTTGCAGCAAGCCATCCTTTGTTCCTCTCGAGTTTTCAGACAGAGTTTCCATGATTGTGATGTCACTCCATGTGTTTGGGCTCTTCGACAATAACTATGATACTTACAATAATAATAGTTTCCATTTGTTAATACCGAGATTTAGAATGCATGCTGTACTTTGGGCATATTACATGTTAACTCATGAATTCATTCATTCATTGAATAAATATTTGTTGACTAGTTGCTATGCACCAGACACAATAAACAACATAAACGTGGCCTCTGACTCATAAAGTTTCAGTCTGCAGAAGGAAGATGAAAAACTTAGGATTCAAGACTCAAGTCCCTCAATTCCAAAGCCCGTGTATTTAACTAGGCAATAGTGCCTCACAGCACATAGGACATTAATAACCATGTTGTAGATCATCAGTCATCCCCATGCAGGCACTAACCTGGATTGTTGTGTTTTAAATGTGTGTGTCTGTCTCTCTCTTCATCTTGCCTCTAGCACCGTGAGAGCAAGGACTATCACTTCTGCCTTTTGAACCCTCAGTGAAAATAACACACTGATTCTGACTAAAATCTGAATCCATGCTAATGTCCCCAGTGGTGACGGAACAATTTTAAAATATTTTCTCTTTGTAAACACACTGTTTTGAATCCTAATTGTTTATTTAAATAAGGAATTCTGCCTTGATAGCCATATTTAAAATAGGAAAATGTGTTTGCCAAAAAATGTGTTTGCATTTTCACAAGTTTCTAATTTATGCCGTGCAACCAAGAACTGTGGCGCAATTTATGTGCTAATGTCTCCATTGAGGAAGAGATCTTTACACAAACAACCTTTGGAATAGAAAGCTGAATAGTAACAGGATGCATGAAATTGCTACTTACTCATCCCTCATGGTGAAGCTTAACTGGAGTTTCAGAATTTCCATGCAGTCAGATCTATACATTCAGAAAATGGGCACCAGGAGGTGTTAGCTAGTGTCGGCACATCTAAAGTCACTGTGCCCAGTCTTTGCTGGTGGAAGAATGTTTGCGTTGGAAAACACAAATACTCTCATTTTTGTTAGACTAATCTAAAAATGTTTTCCTTTCAAAATGATTTTTAATATCTTCATGGCATTACCTAATCTCCTAAAATTACATTTGGAAGCATATATCATTACATATACGTTGTAGACCAGAACTTTCTTCAGTGATGGAAATATTCTTCTTCCCCATCCAGTACAGTAGCCATCAGCCACATGGCACTTCTGAGTCCTTGACATGTGGCAGGTGTAACTGAGGAACTGAAGCTTGAATTTCATTGGATTTAAGGTTAAATAGTCACGTGTGGCTGGTGGCTACTCTATTGGTGCATTTCTAGGCCAAGTGTGAAGTCTGAATCTGCCTCTTTATTCACGCATTCATTTATGCACCAGATATTTATTGACCACCAACTCTCCTGGGCATTGTTTTGGGTGCTAGGGGTGCAGAGTTGGTCACAACAGGCCAAAATAACAGAACAATCCCTGTTCTGGTGGCAAGGCTCATGGAGAGCTCACTCTAGTGAGGCTCCATTCCCGAGGAGGTTCTGTTCAGATGCACCAGTCATTGTGGCTTTGCCCACTTGAATCAGACAATTTGTCAAGTTCAGGGGTAGCACAAACTTCATGACGTGTGATGTTGTTTTAGTTTTTAAATAGTCATTGCAAAGAACTGCCTGCGGATACAAAAAGCAAGAAAAACAGCATATGTAATCTTTTACCTCATGAAATTACTCTTATTTTATTTTTATTTTTATTTTTGAGACAGTCTCGCTCTGTCGCCCCGGCTGGAGTGCAGTGGTACAATCTCAGTTTACTGCAATCTCTGCCTCCCGGGTTCCAGCAATTCTCCTGCCTCAATCTCTAAGTGAGTAGCTGGGATTACAGGGCCTGCCACCACACTCGGCTAATGTTCGTATTTTTAGTAGAGATGGGGTTTCACCGTGTTAGCCAGGCTGGTCTCAAACTCCTGACCTCGTGATCCACCTGTCTGGGCCTCCCAAAGTGCTGGGATTACAGGCATAAGCCACAATGCCTGGCCTATATTATTATTATCTTCATTTTACAGAGGTGGAAACTGAAATTTAGAGGACTTAAACAACTTGCCTAAGGTCACGTGGCTGAATTAGGCTTTAAACCCAAGCCTATTCGACTCAAAACCTGATTGCTCCTTCATTTTACCATGCTGTCTCCCCAAGAAAAACACAAATTGATGGTTTAAAAAACATTTTTGTAGAGATGGGTGTCTTGTTATGTTGCCCAGGCTGGTTTTGAACTCCTGGCATCAAGTGATCCTCCCACTTCAGCCTCCCAAAGTGCTGGGATTACAGGCGCGAGCCACCGTACCCTGCCCACAAACTGATTTTTTTTTTTTTTAAATAGGGATTTCAATGTTTGTGGTTTGTGACTTTCATATAACATTTATATCTAAGTTCTAGCAAATCTCTGTGACCAGCCAAGAACAATAAGAATCACTCACCTGGTGTTTGTCTTTCTTGTGCAGGGTCAAGGTGGAAGGTCCAAGGACTGAGAAAGACCCTCGAAGGTATCGCTTAAGTCCTCCATTCCTTTCCTAGAGACTGATCAGGAGTCGGGCTTCAGAAGGAGCCCCCCGGAAGGGCTCCGCAACCTCCCGCTAGAGTCGAGAATGGATATGTTCAGCTTGGATATGATCATCAGTGACCCAGCTGCGGAAGCCAGCAGGGCTGGGAAGAAGCAGCTGGGAGGCGTTCAGAACCCTTGCTCACCTGCCAGAGCCGGACCCCGGCACAAGTCCCTCAACATAAAGGACAAGATATCAGAATGGGAAGGGAAGAAAGAGGTGCCCGCTCCTGCACCCAGCAGGAGAGCAGATGCACAGGGGGATTATCTGACGTCCTGTCTGGTGGAGAGGAGGAGTAGTGATGGGGTGAGAACTCAGGTCACAGAGGCTAAGAATGGAATGAGGCCAGGAACAGAGAACACAGAGAAGCAGAGGAATAAAGGAGCAGTGAACGTCGCGGGACAGGACCCAGAGCCGGGGCAAGACCTAAGCCTGCCAGACCGGGAAGTGGATCCTAGCTGGAGCCGAGGCCGAGAGCCAAGACTTGGCAAGCTACGCTTTCAGAACGATCACCTCTCTGTGCTGAAGCAGGTCAAGAAACTCGAGCAGGCTTTGAAGGATGGGTCGGCAGGGCTGGATCCTCAGCTGCCAGGAACTTGTTACTCCCCACACTGCCCACCTGAAAAGGCAGAGGCGGGGCCCACCCTTCCTGAGAACCTGGGAGGCGGGAGTGGCTCGGAAGTCAGCCAGAGGGTCCACCCCTCCGACCTGGAAGGCAGGGAGCCAGCCTCGGAGGCTGTGGAGGACAGGAAAGGCTCGTGCAGAAGGCCCTGGGACCGGAGCCTTGAGAACGTGTACAGGGGCTCGGAGGGTTCCCCCACAAAGCCCTTCATCAACCCTCTGCCAAAACCCCGGAGAACGTTCAAACATGCCGGAGAAGGGGACAAAGATGGGAAGCCTGGCATCGGCTTCAGGAAAGAGAAAAGAAACCTGCCTCCTCTGCCCTCGCTACCTCCCCCGCCTCTGCCCTCCTCTCCCCCGCCGTCCTCTGTGAACAGAAGACTGTGGACTGGGAGACAGAAATCCAGTGCAGACCACAGGTAGGTGCCGGTGTGGCAGGGCAGAGCGTTGCCACCTGGCTCTCTCAGTGGTTTATGTCCCATCGTAACTGTCTGTTCTCAGCTGAATTATTTGTTTTATTAAACTGATGGATCTTGTAGTCCAGATGGTTCACAGCTTAAGATACTTTGTTAATTAACCTGGAAACTTGGTACATGATGCATGTATTTTGTGTTTGTTCTCAGTCCTCAAAAAAGAAGAGTATTTGCTTTTAAAAATTACCCTTTAGATGTAATAAGGACTTGAAATTGGGACAGTAACCAAGAGTTAAATGAAGGACTCATGTTAACCCTGGCAGTCTACAACCTAGTAGTCCCTGCTAACTACCAGTGCTTGAATTTTTCTTGGTATGGGCTTTAGAAACACACTGCCTGGAGTCTACCCTGGCCCGATCAGTGTCTATCTATGTGAGCTTAAACAAGTTGTTTAACCTCTCGAAGCCTCAGTTTCCTCATTTATACATATGGATGCACGCACTGTGAATATTTTATAATGTTAAAATAACACATTAAATAATAAAGCATGTTAATGCTTAAAAATAAAATCTGTGCTTCGAAAACAATTTTTCTATTTTGCAACTTAATCTCTAGTCCATTTCTGTAACATGCTGCTTGGTTTGATAGCCACTAATCTAGAAACCAGCTTTAGAGCAATCTCCTCAGGATAGTTGTCATACTCCCTTTCATCATTTCACCTCCTATTTTCTCCTGACCCACTCCATTGAGCTTTGGGAACCTGTTCCTGAAACTACCCTGTCCCAAGGCCACCAGTAACCTCCATCTTGCTAAATCCAATTGCCAGTTCTTTGTTCTTTTCTTAATTGGCCCTTCTCAGTATTCGAGGAACACCTGTTGACTCGCTCCATCTTGAAACACTTCCTTCATTTGGCTTCTGGGTCACCCACGTCCCTGGAAGTCCTGTTTCTCTGACTCCTCTGAGTTCCATTCTTTTTTTCTTCTGTCTATCAGAGCACACCCCGAACCTATCGCCACCTCAACCCAGGGCCAGACCTGAGACTTTTCTTCTCCGTCTACACTCACTCCCTAAATGATCTCATCCAGTCCCATGGCTTTCAATGTCAATGTCATGTTTATGATTCCCAGATTGAGGCATTCAGCCCCAGCTCCCTCTCCCAGCTTAAGGTTTGTGTAGTCATCTCCTGCTCAGATCTTCATTTGGTTGTCTTGTCATTCGTACTTAACATGTCCAAACCTAAATTCTCCATCCGGGCTGCCAGTAACCACCTCCTCTTACAATAATTGTCATCCTACTAAATGGCTTCACCCTTTGTTTAACTGCTTAGGCCACAAACCTAAAAAGTCATCTTCAATTCCTATCTTTTTCATATACCCCCTCCTAATTTATCCCAAATCTGCCTATATCTCCTCCACTGCTACCATCTTAATCATCTTAGATTCACCTCCCACCCCCAGAACATTCCTCCCTCAGCAGCCAGAGGAGTCTTCTAAAAATATAAACTATAAATTAAATCCTGTCACCCCCCACTCAACATGGTCTGTCATGTAGGATGATTCTTTTGGCTGTAAATAGCATAATTTCTTATGTTCTCTTCAAGGGGGAAAAAAACTTGCATATTCTAGAATTTATTTACATATATATGTGTATATATATGTGTAAATATATATGTGTAAATATATATAAGTTATTCCCAGTTTACAAATAATGCTGTGATAAGGAGCATATAGTATTACTAGTTTTGCTACTTACTAGCTGTGGGACATTGGACAAGCCACTAAATTTGTGTTGGCCTCATTTTACCTACCTGTAAAATGGTGATAATTATATTATAGTAACCACTTCACAGAGTTGTTGTGAAGATTGAATGAGTTAACATGTGTAAACATAAACTTAGTACAGAGCCTCTTCAATATGTGTTAAGTGTTTTATTTTTCTATGGCTCCATTCTGTTTAATTAATCAGGCTATATCTTTTTCAGTACCAAACTATTTATTTTAAATTCATAATGTATTATTATTATTATTGTTGTTATTATTATAATTATTATTATTTTGAGATAGAGTCTCGCTGTATCACCCAGGCTGGAGTGTGGTGGCACAATATCAGCTCACTGCATCCTCTGCTTCCCGGGTTCCAGCAATTCTCCCACCTCAGCCTCCCAAGTAGCTGAGATTACAGGGGCACACCACCACGCCTGGCTAATTTTTTGTATTTTTAGTAGAGGCAGGGTTTCACCATGTTGGCCAGGCTGGTCTTGAACCCCTGACCTCACGTGATCTCCTGCCTTGGACTCCCAAAGTGCTGGGATTACAGGCATGAACCCCATGCCCAGCCCATAATGTATTTTAATATCTAGCAGGGCTTATAGAAATTTATTAATGTTGCTAATAATTAGTTGATCCTCTTGGATTTCCTATATATAACATCATTTCATATGCAAAAAATAATAATCGTTTTGTCTCTCTCCTTTTTAGTAATTATAAACCTCTTATTTGTTTATTTACTTATTATTCACCTTTTCCAAAAATGTCTTGAGTGTTTCTGCCTGTATTTTTCTGAATGTTCTAAATATTACTATCAAATTTCACATACACAAAATATGTGGGAGTTTTTGTTATTAATATGTAATTATTTGGCATGCTGTGTATTTGCTACGTTTATTTCTAAGTCTTTTCTCTTTTTAATGCAATGGTTAATGTAGTCTTTTTTCTCATATGGTCTTTGTATTTAAGAAAACTACTTATTTTGTGTGTGTGTGTGTGTATATATATTTTAAGACGTCTTAAATTTCTTATCATTTCTAATAGTCTGTCAGTTGATTCTCTTGGGCTTTCTATGAATATAACCATATTGTCTAAAAGAATCATCATTTTACCTTTTTCTTTTTAATTTATACCTAATTTTCTTACCAAATTGCACTGGCTGAGAATTCCGAACAGTGTTAAATCATAGTGCTGAAAGCAGTGTGCAGCCCTACTTCACCCCTAACTTTAATGGTAATGCATCTAGAGTTTCACTCGCAGGCACTCTTATTTGAGATATGTTTTTACATTATCAAGTTAGTGTCCTTTTATATGTATTTTTTAACTTAGAGTTTTAAAAATTAGGATTAGAGATTAGATTTTTGTTAAAGTACTTTTCAGAAACTCTTGATGATCATATGATTCTTCTGCTCTGATCCTTTCATAGTGAATTTATATCTTAATACTAACCCATCCTTAAATGTGGGGGATGAACTCCCATTCGGGCGTGGTTTATTATTCTTTTAATGTACTACTGAATTTTATTTGCTAATATTTTAAGATTTTTGGATCAGTAAATAAATTGGACTGGTCTATACTTGGGTTTTATTGCACTATCTTTTTTTGTACAGAATACATATAGGATGATTGCACTACCTTTACTAGGTTTGAGTGTCAGTGTTATGTGAGGTCTGGAGAAGAACTTAGATGCTTCCTTCTTTATGTTCTGAGAAAATCTGAATCCATCTCCAATAATAAATCCTTTCTCCAGCCACTGCCAAAGCCCGGGTCCCCGAGCACTCCCATGACTTCGCTGCTCCTGCCCAGTGCTTCCCACAGCAGCCCTTCCACGCCCCTTCTGGCTGTTCCTCCAAGGAGGCCCCACAGCCCCAGGGACAGGTTGGTTCTGGGAAACTGGAATCCTTCATCTGTGTCATCACTGGGCAGGCGAGTCAACCTGGGGAACAGTTATTCCCATTATCTTTTCTCTCTTAACTACCATCTGTGCTTTTCAGTCTTCCAGCATTTTCTTTATAACCAGCTAAAGTTACTTATTTCAGTCCAAAGATGAAATTTTTCTTGGCCAGTTTGAATATGGTTGCATCAGCTGTGTTTTAACAATTTTGGCTTTGGGTTTTTCATTTTGTTTAAAATAGTACAATGGAGGTGATTAGGGCAAGATGTTCACTTTCTACTCTTAAAAAAATAAAGTATGCTCTTTACTGTGGTCCTATCTCTTAAAAACAAAAAGGCCTATACCACGAATTTGGCAGACGCACCACCCCCTCTCAGGGAGGAAAGCCAAACCAAAGTTGAAGAAAGAAATGATTAAGGATTTAGAGGTTATGAGGGTTTAGAATTTCATGGCCAGGCTGTGTGTGCCTTAGAGAATGTACTCAGCTTATTTTCACAGGCCCATTAGTTCACCTCCTTAAGAGTAAAACCTGTGGCTTCAGAGCCTCGGTTTAAGAAAGCGTATTTTTCTTTTTCTCTTCCCATTTCTCTCTCTTCTTTTTTCTTTTCTCCTCTTCTCTTTCCTTCCCTTTTCCCTCCTTTCCTCTCTCCCTCTCTATTTGCTGTCTTCTCTCTTCTTTCTTCATTCTTCTAAAACCCCAGGAAATTAAATGCAAGGACTCAGGCCTTCAATCCTCAAATGGAAAATGAGAAACCCTCAAATGTCAGGAAATTCCAAAGATAAGGTTCCTACAGCAACATTAACTTGGTTCTATGTGTTTTATGGCATACATTTAATAGCTCTGGCAAGAATGCCTTAAGGCCAACGTATAAGAAGAAAAGTTCCTACTTTTTAAGTGTGAGCAGCATCCTGAAATCACATGTATCTACATACTCAAAATGTCTTAACTGGAATTCAGATTTTTAAATTTTTGTTTAACTTGGTCATGTGACAGCTTGTAGATCTTTATGAAACCAAATAACTGCATTGACCAAAATTTCAACTTTTCAGCTGATTGTTTTGGCACCATATGGATTTGGCCTTTCCTTGGGGCTTTGGTGTAAGACTTTCAGAACTTCTTGAGGACACGAAACCTCGGTCATTATATGGCTGCCAGATCACACTGTGCTGTTATTGATTCCATAATTTCCATCTTCTATGGGACCGATACGGATTCCCCACAGCTCTCTGGCTGGGCAGCAGCCCTCGGCTCTCACCGGTTTAACAGTTAAAATTAACTTACCGGCCGAGCGGTGGTCCGTCTCAGTCAGCAAGGCGTCCCTGAGACAACTCGGAATTACCACGT